CTTGGGGATGTGGGGCGCTTTCCTAGAGGCAGGGAAGGATGATGTCTGAGCTGAGACAGAAGGGTGAGTGGGCACTGGCAGGAAGAGGGGACGGGGGGAAGCCCTGTGGCCAGCTGGAGAGCACAGAGTGGGCTGGGAACTGAAAGAGGTTTGGTGTCTAGGGTCTGGGGCAGAGGGAGGATGAGCAGGCCAGGTCACATTCAGTTCTCAACCTGAGGGCAGCAGGGAGACTGAAGGTTTCCCTCCCAGGGTACCTTGGCTCCATTGGCCTTTAGGAAGATCTTGAAGGACTGGAAGGGTCACAGAGGAGATGAAAGACCACCAAGGAGACCAAGGCCATATCCCACAAAGTAGGGAGTCTGGAGGGGACAGAGGCGAGGAGCGGGCAGTGGAGAGTGGACCCAGGCTTAGCCCCGCAGGGCTGGACCGGAGGGCAGGGCAGGGCAGGGAGAGCTGGAGTCCAGGTGCTCCAGGAGCACACATAGAGCTGTCCATCAGCTTAAGACTGCCAGGGCCAAGGCCCGAGCCCGGGATCCATTTCTCCTGGGCCCAGCAGCTCCGTCTGCCTCACAGGGCTGCCCGTGCACGATTTACACCAGCTCCAGACAGCCCAGAGCCCGTCAGTCAGCCAGTGCCTGGCACGGGAGGGAGATGGAGGGAGGACCGGCTCCCTACCCTGGGGATGTAGGGGTGGGGTCTGAAGGAGGCCAGAGCCTGTGGGGCACAGAGGGAGGGATGAGGCCTAGGCACCCTGGTCCTGCCGCCTCTGCCCGGTTCGCACAGGAGCTGAGACCAATGACCGGGGGTCCTCTTGCTGAAGCGCCCTTCTCTCTGTGTCTGTCTGTCTGTTTGTCTGTCTCTCTGTTTCTCTGTTTTTCCATCCATCTCTTTCTACATCTCTATGGCTCACTTTATCTCCTTCTCTCTCTGGCTTGCTGGCTCTCTTTCTGAGTATTTATATCTCTCTGTCTCTGATTCCTTTCTCTCATCCTCCTCTCGTTCTCCTCCTCCCCCTCAGAATCACTTCCTCAAAGGTGGAAACCATTCATCTTGGGGCGTCAGGTGGGGCAGGCCCACGTGCTCATGGCCCAGCAGGCGCCTCCTGGGAATGGCGGGGCTGGTGGGCAATTCCAGGATCTCTACTCTGAGTGACTCCTCTTGCCTGCCCTTCAGGCCTGCCAGATCCATCTATCCAAAGGGACTTATGGCCGCCGCTCCAGATGTGTCCAGCAGAGGGTAGACTTCACCTCCCTGCAGCTGGGAGATGGACACCTTCCCACTCAGAGGTCCTCTCATTTGGCAGACCTTGTTCCTAGACCCTTGGTCACCAAGCATCCCCCTTACCAGGCGAGAAGTTCCACTACCAGTGATTTAGTGCTTAAATGAGGAAGAAATCCTGCTAACTGCCCCCTAATATTTAACAACCTTCAACATATCAGTTATTATTAAGACTCTAGTATGAACAAGCCAATGGCTCCTCCCTCTATTCCCCAGCTAGGTGGATGCTGCCTAAGGAGACCTCATTAGTCCATTTTTGCAGGAAGAGAGGCATGGAAAGAGAAGCCGAGTAAGGGACCCCAGAGAAGGTAGGTGGGGCAGAGGCGGGGGCAGAAAGGAGGGGATTTGGGGGAAGGTACCAGAGGAAGGGAAGTGGGACAAACATTAAGGAGAAGGTGTCTCATTTGTCTATTCCTTCATAGTCAACAAAGCACAGTCACAGGAAAGTCCCCAAGTCTCTCATCACCCCATTTTCCAGACGGGGAGACTGAGGCCCAGAGAGAAGGAAGTGGCTCCAGATCACACAGAACATCCAGGTCTCCTAATCTAAATCCAGGCACCTGTGCTGCCATGCTTGCTCGTGCCCCACCCTGTCCTTCTGCTGTCCTCCCGCCCCCACAACGGCACAGCCTCTCCTCCTGAGGATTCCTGAGGAGGGCAGGAAGGCCCTCTCAGGGCCCTAATTTATGATTTCCCGGCAGCTTCCTTCCTCCCCTCACTCCCCTCCAGCCCCAGTCCCAGCTCCGTGAGGAAGGAATGAGCTGGGTGAGAAGGGCAGCTCCACAGAGCATAAATAACTTGGCCAGGCGGCTGCAGGCTCTCCGGGTCCCCCAGCGCCCCGCCCTGGCCCAGCGGGGTGCCCCCTGCTCTGGGACGCGGGACAGCACAGCCCGGCCTCCAGATCAAAGGCACAGAAAGCGGGCATTGTTCCCCAACCTGGAAGCACAGGGAAGGCCTGGCCCTCCAGCGATACCCTTTGTCTGGGCTGAGGCTCTGAAGGCCACTGGGGCTTACATGGCCCCTTCCTTTCCATGACACCCAGGCACCGCCTGGGCCATCAGGCATGGGCCCATGGGGCCGCCACCATGGGCTCTGGGTCCCCCTGGCCCCTTCGGGCTGCCTCCTTACCAATGGAACGGGTGCAATATGGGTACAGATGAGATGGGGCGCCTGGGATCACACGAGCTGGTGTGCAAACAGGGCTGATATCTCCCCTGAGCAGGGAGGCTCTCCTGTGGGACACAGGCGGAGGAAAGGGGCCCTCAGCACAGGCCCCACTGGGAGTTCACAGGGAAGGGGGGCTGCACCCCAGGCAGTTTGCTATGAGGAGAAGAGCATTTCCTGTTTGGACAGGGTGCGGGTGGACGTGTCAATGACTCTGGTGTCAGTGACTCCACACCAGAAGGGCTGCATTTCCCAAACCCCACGGCCTGCTCCGGGGCAGGGTGGGGGGTGTGAGCGTCCAAGGCCGTGTCCCTGTGTGGTCCACACGCGTGTGTGTCCACATATTCTCTCTCGCCTCAGCAGCTCCTAGACAGGAATCCAAATCTGAGCCGAGTTCTCTTTTTCCCCCAAAGAAGCCCCCCTGTGGGGGCAGCCAGAGGGCGGCAGTGTCGCCGGTGGGTGAGCGCACAGGCCGGCACCCATCACTCACCAGCCTGGACCTGGGGTGAGCCCCCACCTGGGGGTAATCAGGCGGCCTCCCCGGTGGCAGAGACGGGGCAGGAGACAATGCGAGGAAAATGCTTAGGACAGCGCCTGGCAGGCGGTCAGCGCTCCGGACGGAAGCTGCTGTGGTTACTGGCAGTTGTGGTCTGGTCTTGGCAACGGAGCCCATCGGGCCCCCAGGGAAGAGGCCCCGCCCACGGGGACAGGCCCAGAGACCTGGAGCCAGCAGGCCCCTCTCCTCCTGGTCTCAGCAAACACTGAAACCTTAAATGACGAAGACTCAGGCCTCCGCACCATTTCCTGCCCTTCCTGCTCAGGGAGGAAAGAGGACCAGAAAACAGGCTGACATCCACCAGGAAAGTGTACCCTGAAAACGGGGCTTCGGGCTGGGCCCCAGGACCACCGCACAGAGACCCAAAGCTTTCACACTTTCCCAGAAGTATGGACTCTTGAGTCAGAGGGGTCTTAAAAAGGTCCTGTGGCTTATTTTTTCAGGCAAGGAAATGAGGCTCAGAGAGAGGAGGCAACTGGTCCCAGGTCACAGAGCTCCCGGTGGTTGCTCTGGAATTGACACCTAGGCCTATGGGGTACTGAGCCTGTGTGGTAACCACCAGGCTGCACCGCCACGGGATGTGGCTGTAGTTATAAATAAACACCCTGGACCAGGGGACCCCAGCCTCAGCAAGAACGGGGCCCCCTCTGATGTCAACATGTTGGTAACAGCATTTACTGAGAGTGTCCCTTGCTGAGGAAATTCTACAGTGGCCTGAAGCTCCCAGGAATTTGGTGGCGTTGGTAAAGGAATGTCTATGCCATTAATCACAGGGGCATCTCGGCATGTTGAAGACAGACCTGGTGATGTCTCCTCATTCTGAGGCACCCACCCCAGGTGTCCCCGACACCTCAAAGGTCTTCCAAGGCACTCCCCAGGACATAAGCCACTGCTCAGCGCTTCTCCTTCCGAAAGAGCTGCATGCCCTTCAAAGTCACCTTTGGGGAGAACGTTTTTGATCCCAGCCGCTTGAGTGGGGCTGTAGATGGGCCTGGCCTGGTCCTCTCAGGAGATGACCCCTTGGGACTGACAAGTCATCCATGGTATGAAGTCACTGATCTAGTTGTGTCGCAAACGAGGGCTAACCAGAGAGGCACAAAGCTGCATTTCTTGGGAGTCAGACAGACAGCACACAGTAGGTGCCCAAAAATCACACATGGAAGGGAGGAAGGCAGCTCCGCAAGGAGGTGAAGTTGGCACCGTGATGATGTCATTGGAGGAAGTGGAGCCTTTAGGCGACCACATGAGCCAAGAGACAGTGGGTGCAGGGCACTACCATGACATCTCAATCCTGCCCACACCCTCATAAGGAGGGTCCCATGTCCTCCTTACAAAAAGAAACTGAGGCTGGAGAGGGGCAGAACTTGGCCAAGCTAACTCAGGCAGAGGCGGCAGAGGCAGGGTTTGGGCCCGGCTCTCGATACCTGCCCCCTCGGGGGACAGGGGGCAGCTCCCTCTACATCAGCACAGCCTCCCCCGTCCTGACTCAGGCCCGGGGCCCAGCGCTGCCCGGCCCGGCGAGTCTGGGAGAGGGAGTCCCCAGGAATCAGAGGCCGGGCTGGCAGATCCTTCCTGCTGGAGTGTCTCTAGTAGGGATCTGGGATCTGGACAAGCCATGGCAGGATCCAGCAGGACGAGCCCCCGGTGTGCCACCAAGCTGGGCAGGGGGCTCCCCAGCCCAGTGCTGCCAGCTACACCTCAACCCAGGCAGAAGGGGTGGTCTGAGACCGGCCTAGAGCTTTGGAGGGTTCTGGGTTGCCTCTAATGAGAGCTGTGGATGAGAGCTCAGCTCATCCCCATAAACACACACATGTCACACATACCCATCATACCTGCACACACATGCATCACAAACACACATCACACATGCACACTCATCCATCACACACACCCATCGCATGCACACACATTTGCTTACACCTTCGTGGGACTCACCGCCCTCTGCCCAGAAGCTCATCCATGTACCCCGGATGAGGAAACTCCACTCTAAGGCAGTCCTTACCTTGTTACAGTTAGGGAAACGCAGGCCCAGACCAACATGCTGTCTGCACTCTTCCTTAATTCTTCTTAAGAGCTTACTCCCTCTGAAGCCAGGAGATCTGGGTTCAAATCCTGACTCTTCCAACCACTGCTGGAGTGCTTTAGGTAGATGACATTTCCTCTCTGTGCCTCACTCATCTGTAAAATGGCGATAAGAGTGGACATTGACCTTATGAGGGCAGCCCAGGTCTTCTCCTCCCAGAGGGACTAGACAAGTGCCTGGGCCTCAGTTTTCTTCTCTGTAAAATGGGGACAATTGTGCCCACCTTGCCCAAAGTGGTTTGAAGATTAAACCAAGACAGGATGTGAATCGGAGGTGAGGCGACCTGCACACAGTGGCGCTCACTGCTCAGGAAGTCTTTGTTGCATGGAGGGGTGGTGCTCTCCCGCCTTGGGGACTGGATCCCCAAGAGGGGAGGACGGCCCCCGCATCCTAGCTCAGGCGTGGCGGCTTCAGGCCGTGACTGCCTCTGAGCCCACGCCCCGGCCTCAGTTCCCCAGTCTGCAACAAGTGGGAGGGCACCTCCGACCTGACACCCCGCCCCACAAAGGGCTAGGCGCGCGGAGCGCCGGGCTCAGGTGGGCACCTGGCAGGCCTCCTGGCGGGCGCGCCGGCCCCCCGGGGCTCCTTCCGGGTTGGCGGCGGCGGCGCGGGGGGCGGGGGGCCGCGCCGAGGGGCCGGGCGAGGCCGGGAGCGCGCGCCCCCGCCCCGCGCCCGCCTCCCGCCCGCCCTCCCGCCGCTGCGCTGGGAGCCGGGCTCCGCGCGTCCGGGGCGGCAGGCGGCGCGGGCGGGGACGGCGGGCCGGGGGCGGCCGCGAGGACGGCGCCGGGCGCAGCATGGGCGGCCCGCGGGCCTGGGCGCTGCTCTGCCTCGGGCTCCTGCTCCCGGGAGGCAGCGCCGCGTGGAGCGTCGGGGGAGCCCAGTTCTCCGGGCGCAGGTAAGGACTGCCCCCCACCCCCGTGTCCTGCCAGCCCCGCGTAGGGAGCCGGGACCCTAGGCACCCCTAACCTCCGTGCGAGCCCGGGATTGGCAAAGGGACCCGGTCCTCCACCGCAGTGCCAGCCCGGGTGGGGGCAGGGACCCTGGGCCGCCCCGCTATTTGGCAGAGGCTCCCGGCAGGGCAGGGGGTCCCCTCCTCCAGGTGTCTGGAGCCGGCAGCCCCTCACAACCTCCTCCATCCCCCACCACTTCACCTCCAGAGCCCCAGAGGAGGAGGGAGGGGCACAATGAGGGAGAAGCCCCCGAGGACTTCTGTCACCCTAGCCCAAAGGCCCCCCTCCCTGCACTTAGGAAAAGCCCGGGACACCCCCTAGCCGACGCTCGGGAGACCCCTCTCCCCTTGTCCTGCTCCTGGCTTTTTTTAGTACCCCTGGCTATTTATTTCCCTTGGAGGAAGGCTGGGGTGGAGTTTCGCATGCAGCCCGTGGGTCACTGTCGGCCCCCAGGGACCTGGCATTTTGGACAGATATGGGAAGGAGTTGGCGTCTTCCTGCTGCTCTCTCAGGAGCTGGGGACATTCTCTCTTCTGCTGTTTATGGAGCATCTTCTAGTACCAGTGAGGGGGCCCTTTATATGCAGTGTCATCATTAATCCTTCAAGGAAGGAATGAGGTAGGGGGCACTGTCCCCATTTAGCAGATGAGCAAACTGAGGCTCCTGAGAATTAGCATAGTCTTCTAGGGTCATGGGCCGTTAACAGAACAGCTGGGATTAGAATCTGTGTCTTTCTGGCCTTGATGACAGTGTTTGAACCTGCCCCGGCCTGTGTCCTGGCTGCAGCCTCTATCCCTGCTGGGGTCCCCTCTTGAGGGCCAGCTGCGGTTGTCTGAGGCAGACAATACGGAGTAGCCAGGCCTCTCCAGGCCTTTTCATCCCATTCAAAGGCCTGCCTGGCCCCCACCCCCTACGGCCTCAATTCTTTAATTCTTTTCAGAAATTCCCCTTTCCCAGTGGTCAGGGGCCAGCTTGGCCCCACTGGGCTAACAAGAGCAGGTGACGTGGACAGGACTGGAGGGCAGAGGTGGCCGAGGCATCAGAGGCCAGAAGAGCAGTTGTCTGAGACTGGGATGGGCGAGTGGCAGATGTCACAGCCACCACCTACTGCATGTTCACCACGGCTGACCTGGGCTGCATTTTACCTGTATCCATCGCCTCCAGAATCTTCCCAACTGCCATGGGAGGCATGCATTTTTACGGTCTCCATTTCACAGAGGAGGAAGCTGAAGCCTAGAGAGGGGATATGACCCCAGGGTGTGTATGTGAGTCCCCAGGATCCCGGGTGCTAAGATGACTGAGACTCTGAACTCCGAATTCCCACTGTTGGGTTCAGATGGATGGTTGAGAGGGCGTAAGGTCCAGACTACCCTCCAGCCAGTCCAGGGAAGGGCCCCCGAGCCTGGGCTTCTCGCCCCCAGGACTTGCTGAGTGGGAGCGGGATCGTGGCTATGGGCCGATATCTGATGCTCACTGGGGATTGTCACACCATCTGTTCACAGAAGGCTCACAGTGGCCTGAGCATCACAAAAGCCCTGTGGGCAGTGCTTTTGCTCCCGTTTTATAGGTAAGAAGACTGAGACCTAGAGAGGCAAAGTGGCACCTCAGTCCAGGCCAGCCAGTTTCCAAAACCACAAGCAGAGGTGGTCAGCTTGTGGGTCTGGGAGACGTTTGCAGGTCGTGGTTAGGAGTTAGTGGCTCTGGCCTTGGCTCTGTCACCCACTGGATGTGCAACCTCAGACAGGTAACTTCACAGCCCTGGGTCTCAGTTTCCTCACCGTTTCCCTGTTTCCTCCCCTCATCCCCTGCTCACGGGCCTGTTCTGAGGGTGGGCAGCCCCCCAGGGGAAGGGCATGGGTCCTGATGTACAGTGGTTCCTGTATCACCAACATTAGGTGGAGGAAGGGACCCCTAGCTGGAGGAATCTGTGGTCCTCAGCTGCCAGGATGTCCCCTTGTGGCCCCGTCCCAGCATCATTGGAGACAGCATGGGGATGTCATACCCATCAGCCCTCTCTCCACCCCCAGCCCGGCGCCCCAGGCGCCCCTTGGCAGCCGAGGGATCAGTGTCAGAAAAGAGGCTTTGTGCCTGGGGAGGGGGAAGCCCGGGAAGGCATCCAAGGGGCCGCCCCCAGCCCCAGGAATGTGGCAAGACTTTGAGACCCCTGGAACCAGGGTGCCTGGGGGCTGTGCAGAGCTGCCTTGGCTCACCCCTGCCCCAGTCCACCCCCCAATCCCTGCTGGGGCTGCTTCCTGCCCCTCCAAGGTCCCTCCCAGCCTGAATCCCCATTTCGTTTAAGGACCCATCTCAGTGCTGTGGCTCTAGGGTTGAAGCCATCAGTGGTGTCCTGGCCCAGGCCTCTTCCTCCTTCAGTACTGGCTTCCTTTGGGCAAATCCTAAGAATTCTCTTCCTCAGCCCATCTCTCAGGAGCTCAAATCCCAGCTCTGTGCCCACATGGGTGACTCAGGCAGGTGATTTCTCTCAGAGCCTCAGTTTCCCCTTCTGTAAAATGCAGAACCTGACAACTCCCATCCCTCAGTCGAGGGTATGACCTCGTGTGGAATGTAGTGTGCTGGTGTCCCTCGGGGAAGCCCCTGGGGTGAGGGGCCCCATGTCACTGTCCAAGAACAAGAATTGCCAAGAGCAGTTAGCACTGTGCTAAGTGGGTTGTGTGAAACCTCCTCCGCTGGAGGAGATTCTGCTGTCCCCATTTGCAGATGGACAAAGTGAGGCTCAGAGAGGGTCAGGCTTTGTCCAAGGTCACCAAGTTAGGAAGCAGCAGAGCTAGGACTGGAACTTCGCCCCTAGAGGGGGGTTCTGGCTCTAGTCACCCCACCCCCACCCCATATGTCTCTTTTCTTTCCTCTCCTTTTCATAACGGCCCTTGGCCCCCAGCCCGCTTGGCTGCCTCCTGCAATTAGCCCCTATCACCGTTCCGGATCACAGCCCTGGGCCCCGCGGAGACAAAGTCCCCTGGGCCCCTTGTGGCAGGGAGTGGAGGGCAGGTGGGGGGGCCCTCGTGGGGGCGGCTGGTGCCAGGCTGAGCTGGTCTGGCCTGTTTTCTCTCCTTCCGGCGGCCTCTGGGGGCCCAGGAGGTGCTGAGTGGGCAGAAGTGGCAGGCCCAGGAGGGAAGTGCTGCTCCTCCCAGCCCCTGCCCTAGCCCCATCCCACAGGAGGTGGCTCAGCCTCACCGACTTCTTGGGCAGCTTATCGCAGACCACAGCCTGGGAAAGGAAGCCCCCAGGGGCAGCCAGATGGAGGTGGGGCTTCCAAGTACTGCACCCGTCTCTGGGAAACTGCATCCTGGCTCCTCTGCCCAGGACCACTGTCAGTTCTCAGTCATTCAGTCATTCAGCAAACCTCCCTGAGTGCTCTCAGGCTGAGCCCCATCCTGGCTTGGTCCCTGCCAATGCCGTCCTCCAGCATCTGTTGGGAGGCAAAAGCTATGGGCTATTATGAGGGTGAGGGAGCCCCTGGAGCTGCCTGACCTCACCTGGGGCCTCAGGACTGAGACCTAAAGGATGAATTGGAGTTTGCCTGAGCTGGAGGGTGGGGCTTTCCAGGCAGAGGGAATCTCATATGGAAAGATCTGAGGTGGGAGAGAACAGGGCACATGGAAGGGAGGGCAGCAAGTTTGAAGAGAGGCGGGAGCATGCAGGACAGAACAGTCAGAGCTCGCAGGGCGATGGGGAACCAGCGTGGGCTCCAGACTCCAGGCAAGCAGTGGTGACTTTTTTTAGGTCTGTGCTTTAAAAAGAGCTCCTGCTGCCCTGGAAAGTGGACGGACAGGCGAGAGGGTGGTGGGGCCAGGCCAGGACTCTGCAGAGAGCTCAGGCTAATTCTGGGGGCAGCAGGGCTGGGGGCTTCAAGACCAAGGTGGGGGGGAGCGTGGTAATTGGTGATCCTCCAGGTGGAGGGGCTGAGGGGCTGACCTTGAATCCCCCCTGGCCTGAGTGTCCCCTCTGTCCAGCTGACCGCAAGCTCCATGTCCCCTAAGCAGGGGGGTGAACTCCAGCTTGCAGGAAACCAGGGAGCCAGGCAGTGACCCACGCGGGGGAGATTTTAATTAAGGAAGAAGAAGAAAATAGTTTTCTCTAGCCCCCACCCTGCCCCCACCGTAGAGAGAGGGACAGCTTAGGCAATTGTGGGCAGTCACAGGCCCGCCTCCCCAAGCCCAGGTCAGGGGCTGGGCATGGGGGTGGGGGGCGGTGTACATGTGTGTGTAATGGCACATGGCTGTGTGTCTGTAGGTGTGGACCCGAGTGCAGGGAGGGCGGTCATTTGTGTGGCTTCATGTCCTTCCGGATTTGCTTTGGTCTGATTGTGCTTGAGTGCCTCTGTATGTGTGTGCTTCTGTGGGTCTGTGTGTGCACATGGGCACAGGTGTGTCCAAGAGTTGTATGCACATGTGCATATATGAGTGTGTCCATGTGCACATGCGTCTGCCTGTGCCTGTGTGCTCGGTGTGTGTGCATATTGATGTGTGCGCGTGCATTTGCAGGTGTGTGTTGTGTGTGCGTCTGTACACTGGCGTGGAGTCTTCATTCCATGCCCAGAACCCCCTCCTGTGTCCAGACAGCTCTGACTGTCCTCTGCTGAGATTGCTCCCTCCCTCCTTCCTTCCTTCTCAGAACCCCTTGGCCAGCCTGGA